AAAATGAGGAGGCAGTTATATACAGTATATATATATATATTTTTTTTTTTTCTACATAATGGACAAAGAGTCAAAATTCTCATCTGTGGTAATTAACAGCATGTAACGTAACATTCATGTAACAGGGACATGGATTTATATATATATATTCATGTCCCTGTTACACTTAATGTTTTCGCATTTTCTTGGCTAAATAAACTTTACATAAAATGAGAGAACAAAAATAATTCTATTTTGTATTTTATTAACATTATTATTTTATTTTATTTAATATTTTAAATAATAATTATACATTTCACAGTGTTTTATGCATTTTTACCTTTATTCAAAAATAACAACGAAAGGCAGTAACAATTTGAACAATATTTTGGAAAGACTTTAGTGTGTGTGACTTTTAGACATTAGTTAACATGATTTTCTGCTATTTATACTACTTATTTCAAATAGTGGCAATTATCTGCACCTTAGTATTGTAGAACATTATACAACAGTATGCAATAATAACATATTGAGTGTAAATTATAATTTTAATTCAAATGATTAAATGGATGCCTCAGTATTGGGACAATATAAGCCCTCCCTACACCTACCCGATGTGATACGAGATTTGAAAATGGAGAAAAAAAAAGTTCTGTAAAGGGCGGAATGGCATCAAAAATGACTTCGGCACGCGCTTTACTATACGCCACTGAACTTATAACTAGCGTCTTTTGTAGTGACCTTACATTGATGGGCGGAGTTAGTGTAAATCACTTCTGCCAGCAAGGCGGCCTATTAGTGTAATAGACCAACTGTTCTTTTTAATAGTCAACTTATTTTCGAGTCATCGTCATAAAAGCCCTGTAAACACTGTCACAGACACGAAGATACATCTTTCATTTCATCACGCTGAATGCTCACTAACTGACACGGTCATCACGTTTTCAGGCCATTTCAAGTTTTATTTTGACGCGACACATAGCAGTGATATATCCAAGCGGGTGAGTTGTTTACTTACTTAATATCTAGTCAATAACGCCATCATTTTCTTCATTCAGGCCGAGAGCTCGCATGAAAACAAGAGGCGGGATTTATCACACGAACCAATCACATCCGATCATAACCAATCATATCGCGATGGAGACATTGCCTCCTCTCACGTGATTTTCCCCCATTCAATCTCAATTACCCCCCACTAAACCCACTGCACGCTAAGGGTCTCTGTTGTAAGTCAATGGGCCGAAGGGAGGCAAGCCTCCGCAAGCATTCTACCTGCAGGTGTCGCTGTTGGACAGTGTTACTTTATAAAAACAAGTGACTTTTATATTTTTAATGTCATATTTAGTAATATTTGCGTTGTTTCATTTTAGTAATATCGATTATTTTCTCATCCAATTTTTTGAGGAGACACTGCTATTGTGGGAGGCACACAGACTCATGTACAGCACTTCTGTTCAATCAGTTCAATCATTATCTGCTCACCATGTCAGCGATGAAGGCTGCTGTTTATTAGAAATGCAGTAAGTGCAACATGCGAACAAGCTCATATTAAAACACCCCATCTGAGAGCTTGTATTTGACCTGCAGGACTGTGATCAGAGGAAAACCCTCCAGTGCAGGAAAGGCTGGATTTGTGCCTTGAGTCTGAAGAAGAGCTGAACACCTGAAAGATGATAATGAGCGTGACTCCTGCTAACAGAGGTTAATAACAAGACTCCTCTCTCGAACCCTCTCTGCCTTACAGTCCTCACAGCCAACGCTTCCTACTTTCTCCACGCTGATCTGAAACAGGACGGCGGGTTTCTGTGGATTTCTACATGCTATTGAGGCAGGCTGGTTTTTGGTCTCCTCCTGCATTTTCCATTGAAGCTCATCCATCAGCGGTGACAGGCAGAGAGAAAGCGATAGCCCAGTATCACAGCCAAACCTGTGCTCTCGCGCGGGCCTGCACACTCACGCCATTTATAAAGGCACGCTGCTGTCCTCAGGAAATACTCAGCACACCGTGTCAAATTATGACATTAAATGTGCAAACTTGTTTTTATCAAAGCTCTTCACAACCAGCTTTCATCTTGGCACAGCAGCACATTTCACGTTCAAAACGCAGGAAAACTAACAAAAAGACTTTATGCAGTCTTAAACCAACTCATTCTTCATAACACTGGCTAACACACTTTATGATCCATAAACACTGATAACTGGTGCATTACACAATGTTTTCTTACACTAAATTTCTTCACAAACAAGAATGGCAGTCTGCTGTTCAGATTGAGTGAATGTTACACACTCCATATCTACATCACTGCACAAAATTATTTCTGAGCTTTACGTTTTTGTATAGATGGGAATGAAATTGAAAAACTAACACCTGTGCAGTTGTTCAAGCTACATATAATTGTTTGAATATAGTATTTAATTTTTTTTAAGATTTGGAATATATTTCAATATGGCATTACTGTGTAAATGTAGCGAAACGCTCTCTTATTCAGTTATGTATTATGTTAAGTTTTGAACAAGTTGATCAGTTTTGTAAAGAGCATGTGAAGGTGTAAATTAGCCAGTGGGGTCACAGAGTGAGAAAATAATTCATGTCATTTGAAATGTATTTTCTACCAAAGCAATGATAAAGTATCCAGTTTAGACACATAGATGCTGTTGTGCTTCACTGTGTGAAGAGTTTTGAAAAAGTGAGGATTGAGAAATGGGTTGTGAATGGATCTCTAAATCAAATGCGTTATATTCAATGCACTGGTTTCTGATAATAATTAATATGCTCATATATAGTCAGTGTTGGGAGGGTTACTTTGTTAATGTAACAGGTTACAGATTACAAGTTACCCTATTTGAAATGTAACAAGTAGTGTAACGATTTCAATTACTTTAATAAAGTAGTGTAACTGATTACTTTCTGATTGCTTTTCTAAACTTCTAATGTTTTCAACTGTTAATCATTTTGAAACATGTAAAGCAGACAGTTAATATTACAGTAGAACTCAACACTGATTACTGCCAGTCTTACAGAATCCTTCATCACTTCAATTCAGATTATAATAATTTAATTTTAAAACACAGCCACCACAAAATCAGACTTTAGCACGTCTTTCTACTTTCAGATCATTCTGAGGTTAAATACAGATTTAAAATCATAGTTTAATTAATAGGTATGATATTGTTTTTGAAATCAAATTTTTGCATAGCTATGACAGGAACCACTGGCATCTAACAATGCCCTGGAAACACAGTTATTAGCGTCTCATATTTTAGAGCAGTCAGTGCAGTTTGGGAAAGAAATCAATCAAATCTGTATGTGTGTGAAAATATTCAGATGAAACCCCCTTTGTAATCATTAACATTTTCATAAATGGCCTAACTAATTTAATTACACAAATTAAAAAAAATTATCAGTAACTGTAACAGATTAGTTATGTTTATTTTGTAATTAAATTACGTAATTAGGTTACATCTAACTAGTTACTCCCCAACACTGAATATAGTTGATAACTCAATGCGGGATTATTTACATTTTCGTCATATTTTCCTCACTACAGAAACACAAAGATTTATTATGAACTCCAAACAAATATGCACAAACTCAGCGCCTCTGTTTTTTTAACATAACATAATAGTTCTTGATACCCTCGATACCGTTACGCGTTTATGGTTTGCAGTAAGTAACGTAAAGCTGAATTTATTCAGACTGGCCTGTTTATATATCATCGACAGACAGGCCTATAGGCCTAACATTTCGTCAGATAATTACGTTTTCGCGTGACAGTGAAACGAGACGAATCCTTTTAACTCAAAGTGATCGGCGTTAAACAGCTTCATCTAAACTCCGCTCGCGCTGAAACATCGGTATTTAGCGGATATTTCGAGGCATTAAACCGCATTAAACCGCCAGACACGGGAACTGCACTTGCATTGTTAAATGTCAATAAATGTTAATATGGAAAAATAATTTGGTAAGACAGCCAATAGCCTAATTCAAACTACAGTAAGTGTTGCTTTTTATTCACATCATCATTTTTTTAAATATAATGCTTTATTTATTCAGTGCCACACGAACAAGAGGTATTACATATTCACACGATCAAATTAACATTAGCTACCAGATAAAAAAGAAAAGAGAACAAAAAGAAGAAAAAGAAGAAAATTAGGCTACATAAATTTCAATGCTTTCAGAGCATTACATGTTTCGAGTGCTTTTTTGTTTTTGTTTGTTCCAAGAGATTTACATATAATTTAAAGTCATTCATAAAATGTGAAGAATTTGGTCCCTTGACATCATCCTCATCATCCTCCTCAAACACAAGAGAGTGTGACGTAACAAGAGTCATTCTGAACCGCCCCCCCCCCTCTCTCTGTGTGTGTGTGTCTCTCTCTCTTTCTTTCTCTCTCTCTCTCTCTCTCTCAATATTCTCTCATTCATTGGCGATCACAGCGCCTGAATAATGGAATGGCTGGACGGAATCTGCGGACTCTGAGAGGAATATTCAGAGGACTAAAAAGGAAAATTAAAGATTTTAACATGGAAATAAACACGGGCTTGTGAAATGGAGGACTGGAGGACATGGACACACTGAACAGACGTTCACCGTAAACTCATCTTTACTATTTTTACTTGTATGCTGATCGTCATGGATTTATTAGCAGTTTGTATTTTTGTATCACTGTAATTTGCTTATTTTTAACGTTTTAAACCAAAACGCCAAAGCGCTGATGCTGGAGTTCAATTCCTTTCTAAAGTATATAAAAAGTGATCAGAATCGAAATGTAATGCGACAGGACTGCTGATTTACTGAAGGACGTTTCTGGAAAGACTTTCAGTGTTAGAGGAGATTTACAGTCGTCATTTATTTATTCGTTTTAATTCACAATAAAGCCCAGGACTCTTCACTCTTCAGTAGCCGATCTTTCGCTGCAACAGAAACGGAAAACTCGCAGGAAAACAATAATAAACCGATGAGCATGACCCTAGCGTGGCGCTCTGCTCGAGACTAACACAGCAGCGTGAGTCAGAGATGAAGGACAAGTCCAAGAATGCTGCGAAGACACGAAGAGAAAAAGAAAATGGAGAATTGAATGAACTGGCCAAGCTGCTGCCGCTGCCCTCGGCCATCACATCTCAGCTGGACAAAGCGTCCATCATCAGACTGACCAGCAGCTACCTGAAGATGCGAGCCGTGTTTCCAGACGGTAGCTCACGATCCGGTCTCAGACCGCTTTACAGCTCGCTTTACAGCTCGCGCAACTCTACTGTGATCACACTGACTTGCAGTTTATCTCCTTACTTTTATTTGATGATGTTTCAGTTATTAATTAAAAAATTAAACTGTTCAAGGTCGGACAATTTAATTTAATTACCCGTAAAGCATTTGAAAACCAACATTTTGGTTAAGTTAATTAGTTTAACCACTCGAAGTCTAAAAGTTTAAAATAAAATGAATAAAAAAATAATAGGCCTAATGATGAAAATGAATATGATATCTGAATTCGTTTTGATCAGATGTGCTCTGCGTGATGAAATTAAACTGGTTACGATTCGGGGGAAACCACCTGAAAATACAATAATAAAGCAGTAATAAAGAGAATAATATATAGAGTTTTCAGTTTCCTGAAAATATTTATTCCTTGTTCTTTTTTCCCTCTTGAGTTTGTAACTGAATCTTTATCAGCTCACATTAAAATCATCGCAGATTCAGATCGCTTGCAGTGAAATCTGCTTTTTTGCTGAGAGTCCAAAGATATATTTATGTCATAACAGATCTCAAATTGTAAAATGGATAAATATTTCACAAATGGAAGAAATAAAAGAATCTATATCGGATTACATTGACGCAATAGCATCTATCAATTTAGGACGAATTAATGTTTCTTCTTTGCCTATGAATTAGTCTATGCAAAATCCAAATTAAACTCAACTATGTAATGTCTTTAATTTCCGTTTTCGGCTACGTGGAAGTTTAGATAACAATATTAAATTATGCTATATGATATGCTGTTGTAAAGAGTAAATTATTATACATATTGTTAGTTTGTCTCTGATGGACCTGATAACACGCAATAATATAAAATACGTAATAATCATGCATTTTAGTATTTTGTTTTGCCTTTAAAAAATATTTCTGGAAAAGACATATTCTGTAGCAAAATGACCCTTTAACAATATGCATTAAATCGACATGCTAAGTCTAATAACTTAAAATGGTTTTATTTTATGTAATTATGATAAATACATTGTGGCTTCAGCAAAATGTTATGCCTAAATAATTTCCCCCAGATTCACTGCGCGAACTTGACAGATACATTTAATTAACATGTGTGATAAAGATTTTAATAACTCCCGTGAAACTGCTTTTTAAATTAGATTTTAATACAAAGGCGGTCACTTAGAATTTTTTTTTAACGCAAAATCTAAATGAATTCTTCACAACGCACACTATATCAGTGTGCTAAAGCTCCAGCTGTTGGTGTGATGTGTGATAAAGGCTTGAACACAGGTCAGTATTTGAGTGTGTTTGTGCTGTGTTTGTGTGAGGGCTCGGAGAGGCCTGGGGTCAGTCAGCAAGGGTCAGTCCTCTGGACATCATGGCCAAAGATCTGGGGTCTCACCTGCTGCAGGTGCGAGCCTTTACAACTACTTCATATTTTGACGCTAATTTCTAGAAACGCATCGGATGATTATGCAAATGAATCAACGATCAAGTGTCCGTTATTATGCTCTCTGGTTGTGTTTTTCAGACGCTGGACGGGTTTGTGTTCGTCGTCGCGTCTGACGGTAAAATCATGTACATTTCAGAAACAGCTTCGGTACACCTGGGCTTGTCACAGGTGAGAGTTTAACACGAAACCAGGGTCAGTTCGGGGCCACGGTGATAACACACTTCAACACACACATAACTGAGACACAACGCTATAATTCTATCTGGGGAATGTGAAGTGAATTCATACACACTTTTGTTTGCTCCATATCCTTATTTGTGCTTCTATTGAGAAATTCAGTCTGTTCTGAAGTCTGAAAAAACACTGGGCTTCTGCTCCTTTAATATGTTTAGATCTTGTATCTGGTAATGTAAAGAGACCAAACACATTCAAATTGTGTGTGTGTGTGTGTGTGTGTGGTGTGTGTGTGTGTTTAAAGAAAACCAATGTAGAATTGAATTAATGGAAATACAATTAAAAACATTTTTTACTTATCTTTAGATATTGAGCTGATAGCCTACATTAGGTCTAGGACTAGGGTTGTAATTTTTAACTGTGATGCCATATATAGGAAATCACAATATCAGAAAACCCTGACTCTTACTGAGATCATTTACTATTTATTTATTCTCCCTCATGTCCTTCCGAACCAGTTTGAGTTTCTCAGGAACACAAAATAACTTTGATAACCCAACAACTCTAGTGCCCATTGACTTCCACTGTATAGATAAAAAACACCCACATTTCTCAAGTGTGGAAATGATCACATTCTGGGTGAATTATCCCTTTATGAAATTCGTCCGTGCTGATTTGGTGCTTTAGTAATATTAGCACAGCTTCAGGCCTTGTGCACTTTACACTTTCCAAATTACATTTTGCTTCTAAAAATGAGCAAACACCAAGACATTCCTCCATCTGATGAGAGACGAGGAGCAGGACAATCAGAGTCTCAATCAGAAACGTCACAAACAGCTTCATCTGAGCCGTGAAGAGAAGAGTCTGCTGCTGCTTCAGAAGAAAGGGAACGAGTGCTGCAGAAAGCATGGGATGAAACCTCAGCTGAATGTTTCACATGCGGAAATAAACCATTGCAGGAACAACAAGGCCTGTCATGGGAAACTCTATTTTTGCTCTTGCTTTTCCACGACTTCACAAAATAGGAAAAGAGATGGACAGCAGACAGAAGAGACGAAGATATGGAAATTAATGGTCAGCATGTAATCCCAGAGATTTATTGGTTTGGGTTGAGGGATTCCTGAATTTGATTTGAACTAAAAACTAATAAAAAAATAAATAAATCTGTATTAGAACTACTGTAATGCAGTCACACATTAAGATAATAAAATAACGATGTCCTCACAACTGACATTAAAACTGAAAAAATGCGTTTCTTAGAGTCAAGAGATCGTGTCCAACATGTTTAGTTGATCTTATCTATGCACAATCAGCTTGTAACACTCCAAAGAGAAAGGAAAACTTGAAATCGCATCATATGACCCCTTTAAAAGAAGAATATCACGTGTTTCCTTGATTTATAGAAAAGATGAACTAAAAGTCTTGTTTGTAGACCCAGGATCTATATTCGTGCTCCTGAAGATGTCCACGGGTGAGTTGAAGGGAAAACGCTGTTTTTATAGCTATTCAAAGCAGCAGCGGCCGCGAGACGAGCTCCATCGCACATGATGCTGTAGTGCGGGAACACCTGTGTTTGCTGACTACTGAGCATTCAAATGCGCTGGTCACTGCAGAACGACCGCGTGAACGGCCGAGAGCGAGACTCCGAGCAGATATGAAGCGAAGCACACAGTAAGTGTGTTCAGTAAAGTGCGCATTCCTGCACGGACGCGCCGCTGCGCTACAAAGAGCAGATTATCGCGCCGCGTCGCAGCTGCGCAGAAACTCATTTGTCGCTGAAGTGCTGTGGAGTGACCTTCTCTGTGTGCGATGTGCCCTGCTAATTTACACACACAAATGGATCAAAGTCCAGCACAGAATCCGCTTTTGTTTTCACATGCAAATCGTGTTTTTATACATGAACTCTTTCCAGCGGGAATCAGACGGTCTCTTTGAGATGGACGCAGATCAATTTCAGACAAACAGGAGTTTAGCTTCACACACAAACACACACACACACACACACACACACTTAAATGTGTGAATACACACCCTGCTCACAATAGGCATTTTTGTGAGTTGATGTAATCTTCTTAAATGACACAGATTCTCATCTTAATCTCAGCTGGGTTTCCCCCCACTTTGCAGCTATTTGACTGATTTCTCTTTATGCCGCCTGACAATTGTCTGGCAAAAGGCAAAGTAGCATGACTGAATGATGGTTTAGAATGTGATGTGTGTGTGTTGTAGGTGGAACTGACCGACATTTGGTCCCCATAACGTGGTAAATACCAGGTACACACACACACACACACACACTCACACACACACACACACACACACACACACGAGAATTAAATTCATATTCATCACAAAGCTGATCTGTTGCAGAGCTGGAGCTCGAGCGCTCGTTCTTCCTGCGCATGAAGTGTGTTCTGGCGAAGCGGAACGCGGGACTCACCTGCGGCGGTTATAAGGTGAGTTCGTCTCTCTTCAGCTGTTCTAATAAACCATCAAACACACGCACATGTTTTTGTTTGGAATTAAAGCAGATGACGGCCAGTAAAATTATATTCTCTTGGTTACTTTCCCGCGGGCGTTGTTTTTTGCGAGCTCATCTCAAAGCCGAGTTTTGCATTGCAAATGTCATTAAGTCAAAACATTTCTCAAGAGCTTGAGTTCACATGGAGAGCTACTTTAGAGCCAGATTCGCTGCCATTTCACTGTCGACACTGTGCTGCATGAACTGACCCTCAAAGCTGATCTGATTAAATGTAGCAAAGACTTGTTTGAACGCGAACCGCGCATTTGACTACATCATGAACCGATGACATTTTCCGTGCGTCTCCACCCGCTTCATCAGTCAGGCTTTGGAGATTTGTTTGAAATTTACCTTGGCAATAAACAAGTGGTTTATGTTAAGTAGAGAATAAATCAGGCTCTGGATTCAGAGGCGGGTCAACAGGACAAAGAAATATCTGAGTGAGTGTGTGTGTGTGAGTGTGTGTGTGTGTACTTGTTTATGCTACATTGTGGGGACCAAATGTCCAGGGAGGGGCCAGCAACCAGTCTGGGGTGGCACAGAAATCTTCATTATTTCAGTATAAAAATGTGTTTGACTATAAAGTACTGGACTGCTTTACTGCCTAAAACACAACTGAATACAATACATTTCTACTTAATTGTAATTGAGATATTTGTGAATTAGATCAAGTAATGCTGAGTGAATATAACAATTTGTGTATTATTCCCCACCTCCAGGTATTTTAATAAATGGGCTCACTATAGCTTTATTGCTCAGTCAGCTTGGTTCTGGTTCTCAAAACCCCCAAAAGCTTGTTCTCCAACATTACTCATGGACGAGACCTGCAGTTAGTGATAACAATGTGAAAAAGCACATGCCAGAATGTAAAATGAGTTATTTTATGCATTTAAATTGTTTCATTTTCGTTTGTACTTTTCAAATTAACAAAAAAAAAAAATGTGCGCTCATTTTCTAGAATACATTTCCTTTTATTCATTTGGCAGACACTTTTATCCAAAGCGACTTACAATTGGGGAATACATCAAGCCATTCTTCTTAAAGAGGCAAACAGACACAGGAAGTGCTCACCAAGTTTCAAGCATTGTTCAAATAAGTACAAGCTAGACAGAGAAAGATGAAAGAAAAGAAAAAAAAAATTTTTTTAGGATGAAGTCAGATGGATAGGGGTGGGAAGATCATTCCACCAGCCAGGAACGGTGAACGAGAATGTTCTGGAAAGTGATTTTGAGCCTCTCTGTGATGGTACCACGAGGCGTCGCTCACTAGCAGATCTCAGACTTCTGGAGGGGATGTAGATTCGTAGTAGTGAGTGGAAG